ACTGCCAATTAAGTACCACAATGTACCATGTACAAATTCGGAAGTACCATGGTATACCATGGTACTTGTCATATAACCGTGGTAATACCATGGTTCTTGCATGGTAGTACCATGGTTAGAGACTAGTACCACAGGTACCATAGAGTACCATGGTACAAATTCGGAAGTACCATGGTATACGATGGTACTTGTCATATAACCATGGTAATACCATGGTTCTTTGATGGTAGTACCATGGTTAGAGACGAGTACCACAGGTACCACGGTGGTACCATGGTTTTACCATGGTTTTACCATGGTTACCATGGTACTTTTTTATAAGGGTAGAGCTCATGTATCTAGAATCTGTAAGGTTCAATCTGGACCCCCTTCCAAAAAGTTAGTGCAGAGCCTGCCTTATCTTACGCTCATCCACAAGAATCAATTTGTCATCTCATATTTCCTTAAAGGTAAAGACCAGTTTTTGGAAAAGCCCCCCTTTCAAAAAATCTTATTACCAATCATGTGAAAGAATATGTTTTGACTAATACGTGATCATACAAATTTTGCCCAGAAACCGCCTACTAGTTGATATATATTTGGTTAATTAATATATCTATTTGGACCTGATAGATATCGGGCACGTGTCGCGCACGTGTCGTGTAGTCCCATACACATCTTTCTGTGTACAGTGCTTGTAACTTTAACAAGACTGGGCCAAATTTCTTATCATTTTGATGATTCCAGAACCTTGCAGTACATACCAATGCTTATATGCCAGATGATCAACCTTTTCTGATCGATTTCTCAACGTTTTTTTCAAAATGCAATCGCATGACCATAACTGGTCTTTATCTTTAAATTGAGTAAAAAGCAAAAAAGGGAAAGGGGGAAGGAATTCCCAAGACCTTGTCCAACTGCATTTTATCCATCTCGTTTGCTATCTGAGAATTTATCATGAAAATGGTGATTGAGCTCTAGTTATCTTTAGTCTTGTTTTGCATCATCCCAAATATAACATGAGCAGGCTGACTCAACGTCTGCTCTGGCAACATTTGGGAGTAGGATTTAGGGTTAGGGTTAGGGTTTGGTTTAGGTGATAGTATTTGGTCCAGGGATGAAGAGAGGAAATCAGTTATTGTAGACTATTGACCATGGGTCGATTATGTCGGAGCATATCTCAAAGAACAAACTAAAAAACAAAATCCAAAATGCATTGAGTGTTAATTAACAGCCCTTTAAGCCTTAAGCACTGCATTTCCTTATTTCTTATAGTTATCTGTCACTGTATGGCAAAACAGATTGCTGGATTTATATTTCAAGAAGTGCATTATTAAAATCATTTAGAAAATGAAACTAGACAATGAAAGTAGAAAAGTGTTTTGGTGTGCAAAACATGAGGAAAACATCTGCTGACAACATCACAGATTCGCTACGTCACTCCTCAGGATATGTGTTCTCATTTGCCCAAACTAAGCTAGCTTTTATATTTCACTGAATGACAGTTTAAGCCTTGTTATCATATTTAGGACAAGGGGAGACAACCAACCCTCTTTCAGATTCCTAAGCATCTTCAGTTTCTCTTTTGGATATTTCTTTGAAATGCTTGAAATTGCCCTCCCCCCCCCCCCCCCCAATGGATTGCTACATGGATGTAGAAAGGTACGCAATGCGGCTCATCCTATGAAATATCAAATACAAAATTAAGATTAATTCTCCATATTAAACAAAAAACATTGGAAATTAGTCTTCAAGACCAAAATTGGAACTCATTACAAATTTGTAGAGGATTTACTAATCTTGCTCTTTGTGTATAAATAAGTATAAATGTAAAGACAAAATATTTTCAGTAGAAATACAAGTTCCAAGTAAACGATGACTGTAATGAAGTAATGAAGTTGCATTTCAAAAGAGATCAGCTGACAGCTATTTGTAATATTGTTTATCATAGAAAAGATTGATAATTTGGACCAGCAAAATGTCTAAGTCCCTGAAACTATTACCTTTAGTCTTTGAGACATTGATTAGACTATCTATATACACTCACAATTCAGCTTCTATTAGTTTTCAACCATAATTCTTTGACATATATGATGCATCTGTGGTCTTTAAGAAACCAGTGTCTAATTGTTAGAATCTTTTTAATATTATATTTTCCTCTGTTGAACACTGTCACTACATGGTACATATGCTACCTTCAAGTGCTGACAAATTGAACCGTCATTCTCTAAGAGCAGAATGGCACACCTAGCTTCATGGCCCCTTATTGAAGCAGGTGTAATACTTGAGCATACCACCTTTCTTTAAATAACTAGCAAGTATGGTCACTCTACCATTGCAAGGCTAGCAATACTGATTTATATGCTAGACCAGGAGCAGATCTAGGGATTTTTGGGGGTGCTGGGGGGGGGGGGGGTGTGATTTGGTGAGTGAAGAAGGAAAAGTGTGAAAACAAACTTTTTAAAGGTAATACAAAGTTTTGGGAAATTTTGCAAATTGGCTTGATAGTGATTCTTTACAATGTTGATATATTTGGATGCCCCTGTGGATGTATTGTAAGCACAAGGAAATTTAGTCTCCAAAACACTTCTGTTTTCGAGATAAATTGAATATAAAAATTTACCGGTGCTCCCGTAAAATTTTGGGAAATTTCAAATAGTGCCTACGGCCATACAATGGTAGCTGCGACCATGAAAATATCAGAATATTAGTTGTCATATATAATTTCCAAACGGGACTAACCAATCGGTCGATTTTAGTCAAGAAACATTGTTTTATAGCTAAAATCAGAATATTGACCTTGAGAGGGAGCTATACAACATAAACAGTTTATTCTTACAATTTCATCACTTTAGACTCAATTTCAACCGCACCAACGATCACTGAATATTGTTGGATCGCATATGCTTCCAATATGTTCATTTGAACCAAATTCATGACCCCATACCAAAACTTTGTATTACCTTTAAAGTATTTTTTTTTTTTTTTTTTACTATCTAGAAACTTTTTTTTTAACTAGAAAGCTTGTTTTTATGTTTTATTATAAATAATCTTTGTTAAGTGACAAACAAGATACAGGCTTTCTGCCTGTAAGATAATTTCATCTTGTAGACAGCTACTATACAAAAGTGATTTCTAGGTGATCGGTTCCTGTTTAAAGAAATGTAATATACTTCATATACAGTTTTCATTTACAAATGAATCAATGAAAAGTCAGAAAAAATTTCATCAAAGTCATTAATCCATTTTGTTTTGATTCAAACAGCTCTACCAGTACCAGCACTACCACCACACCCTGCTACTCCCACCCTAACGGTTACAGGGGCGGGGTCCTATACAGCACCCCCTCTGCCCTCCATCTCCAGTATCCCCGCCCTCCATGGGAGCGGTGGATCCAGCATCTCCTTCCCTCCCAGATCAGCGGAGCACAGCGGCTCCGGGCTCGAGGAGCCGGAGATCTACGATGATGTATCGGCCGTGAGTATAGGCTCCTCCTCATTTAAGGGCTATTCACATCACTGGGGGTGTTTCACTTGGACTAAACAACTATGGAAAGCCGTTAGCATCTTTGAAAGTATTTTGTTACAGTTATTTTAAAAGTCATAAAATGTTGATTCAAATCATTCATATTTTCTATTAACAAGGAGATTTCACGTTCTTGATGTGGAATTTATAAATAGTCTAAAATACTTGCACTTTTGCTTTTGAATATATTTCATTTTAAGGCTACAAATGGCTTCCCATAATTTTTAAGTCCAATTTAGAGTTAAGTTCGATGTAGGATCTTTGTGAAATACCCCCCTGGAGAATCTAGGGTTTGTAAAGAAGGAGGCACTATTTAAACAAAAATTATGCCAAGTATTGAAAACAAGTTTTACCACATTTATCAGATGTGTTTGGGGTCAAAATTTTGAAAAGGGAGAGGGCACATTTAGGGTTTTATACTTCAAAATGCAGGGAGGGGGAAAGGACAAGTTAAGTGTGCCCTCTTTACTCAGCTAGTATTTCACATTTGTGAGGTTCAAGATTGTTGTCTTAAATTGTGATTGCAATGTCACTTTTTATTCATGTTAAATCTAAAACCAAATTTTAGTAACTGTTGAACAAGGAAAGAGAACCTTAAGCCAGTCTCTTGAAAACTCTTTAGGGTGATTTCTCCAAGAGTTAGTGGCATAGAAGGGATTTAGTTTAGTTGTGAATTTGATTTGCCATACACGTAATTTTACAGGATTGTATGGTTTGTTCATTTAAGAAATGAAGCCCCTAAATTGCTTATTGATAATGATTTTTGTCTTGCAATGTCATTTTTTCCTTTTGACAGGATGGAGAATCGGATGAATTATATGAGGCATTGGATGTAGATGAAGAAAGGTATTGATATTCATTTCTAATGGAAGTAGATATTGAAATACTGAATGAGGAATGTGATGAAGAACTAAAAATTATTGCTTTTTTCCAGACATATTGGAACTTTTCAACCACTTTTATAAAGACCCAGGATTTGCTCCATAACTAAAATGGACCCCCCCCCCCCCCAAAAAAAAAGAATTGTAATTCCTGTGTCCATGTTTATATCCTTTTCAGAATTTTCAAATGTATTGCTTTCCAGAATATTTGTACTCTAAATCCCCCCTCCCCCCTAAGATACCATAGTTGCTAATTTTAAGAGGAACATATGACCATTTTATCCATAAGATTGCAGACAGTATATTTCATATTTCCTCAAAATTTTGCCAATCTGTTTCTCTAATTTTTCTGCTTTTATTAAAATCAAGTCATTAGGCTGGAGTTCCCCATTATATGGCAACTTAATAACATGATGTTTTACTTTTTGGTAGCAGCAAATTAACAATAATTGAATTATTCTGTTACAGGACGGCAGAAGCGGAACTAGAACAGGAAAGGGAAGAAAAGAAGAAACAAGAGGAAAAGAGGAGAAAGGAGGAAGAAAGATTGAGGAAAGAGCAAGAGAAACAGCAGAAGAAGGAGGAGGAGAAAAGGAAAAAGAAAGAAAAGGAAGAAAAGAAGAAGAAGGAGAAAGAAGAGAAGGACTTAAAGAAAAGGTTCAATGTAAGTACGATGCATTCAGCGAGTATTTTGAAAGGTTTTGATGAATCAGCTCTTCCTCTTTGAATGGGCAACTTCAATATTTGTTTCTGTCTGCGTTGCATTCTTTTGATGGACTGGTGTAAATTTAGAATGCACGGGCCTCATTTAATGCTGTTTGATATAAGAATGGACAATTTTGATGATGTATTTGACAGTTTGAAAATGTAACTAGTTTAACAAATTTCCTTTTTGAAATAATGGAGGAACTGCAACTTTTAACTTGGTAATTTCCAAGAGATTTTTAAACTAACATGCAAGGGTTAGTTGAGATAGGAAAAGTCCCTTTGAGATACTCTTGAAAGGTTATTGATTGTCACAACAAGAACTGGCCATATAGAAGGAAGTCATTGAAATAAACATAATAATCTGAAGCAGAAGGGATAAGATGACAATTTGTTGTTATTAAAGACAATAAAGAGCAAGAGAGGGGGAGTGAGAAGGAAATATTGTAAGGGACATTCAGATGAAATTTCATGCTTCAAAGTTCCATTTGAAATAATGTTTGTATTCTGCTTGTAAGTTTCGGCTTGCATGGTGATGTAGATATACAGTAGGCTTGCGGGTGCACCATGTGAGAGAGAGGGAGGATTGAGGAGTCTTGAAAAGGACTCTCGGTAATCTTTCTTGGAGAGCCACTCCCACCATTCATCCTCTCCAAGCACTATAGTTCTCCTTAGAACTATAAGCTAAAAAAGATAACCAACAGTCTTTTTCAAGACTTTACCATTAGTCCTTTTCAGGACTAACAAACCCTCAAGAAAGATTACAGAGAGTCCTTTTCAGGACTCCTCAATCCTCCCTCTCTCTCACATGGTGCACCCGCAAGCCTACTGTATAATGTTTATATTGTTCATCATTGTATTGAGTATTTACAATATCTTGCGTCTTATTTTGTCTCTAAAGAGCCAGAAGAGGGTTAATTTTGGATAAAGTTTATAGGCTTGTGCCTTCTGGCTCCAAACTAATGATAGCATTTTCAGACATTTTGAATTATGGACCTGTACTTTTCAAAACAATTTAGGATACAAACATATAATAATAATAATATGGATATTTATATAGCGCCGGTATCCGCCAGGCTCTGACGCTCATGGCGCTGTACATACATGTATTACTATCACAAAAAATATAACTTTCTTAACTAAAATAAAGTAAACTAAAACAACACAAATTATTACGCTACATTGACATGATTAAATAGCACTGTTTAGAAAGAGATGGGCATGAAGGGTAGTTAAATTACGAATACTAAGTGGCAGCTTATTCCAAAGGGACGGACCAGAATGAGAAAATGCTCTATCCCCCCAGGAACTGCGCGTCTTAGGGACAACTAATAATATGAATGTGGTTAGCATGTCTTTATTTGAAAAAATATTTGAAATTTAAGGAGTGCCTCTTACCATGTATTGGAAGAGTTGGAGTATTACAATGGGAGGTACAAAGTATGTCTGATGTTCTTTCTTTTGATGTCTTATGTGATTGAGGCAACATTTTTCATTTCGTTATGTGCTGAGAAATGGGTAATGAAGAGATTATCTGTGAAGTTATGTTTAAGCACTACGGCAAAATTTCCTCTATAGTTAGCACCATCTCAGGTGAGCTGTAGCAGTGTGGTTCCGTAACTCGCTGCTTCCGTAACTCGCTGCTTCCAAGTTGCGCTGTTGGTTCTCATATTGAGTCCTCTGTCTGCGAAGTGGAGATTAGGTATTGGGTTATGCACTGTTGAGAGTCAAAAGGATACAAGAGATAGAGGAATATAAAAGATGAAATACATGATAATAAGAGTGAAGCAACAATTCAAGTTATAAATGCTGCTTATAAGTATTGGCTTGCATGGTGATGTAGATATAAACAGGTTTACTGTTGCACCATGTGAGAGAGGGGGGGGGGAATTGGGGATTCCTGAAAAGGACTGTCGGTTATCTTTCTTTCTTGAATGTGTGTGTAGTCCTGAAAATTAAAATGATATTGATAATTATATCTGCTCATTGAATGACAATATCATAAAAACAAGCTCATTGCAAATCAACATTGTGCTCTCTCTTACATATAGCTCAAAGGAGAGATCAACATCATCGATGAGGGTATCGTCCTGGAGGCTATGGACGCTGAGTATGAGAAGTACGGCCTCCAGTGTAACATAGGGGAGAAGATTGAGATCCTTAGGAAAGAGGGGAATCCCCCCGGCAAGTGGCTGGCAAGGAATCCAGTCGGACATTGTAAGTTACCATTCCATACAGCAAGTCTGCCCTCGCACGAAATTGTCCGTTTTGAGCCAGAATTACGTTAACTCTGTGTGAAGTGGTATATGAGTTAAAACACACTGGCTCCAAACAGACAATGGGGTTTTCCAATTAAATCCAATAAAATCTAGAATTTTCAATGTGCCAAGATTTACTGGAATAAAAAACTGGAGACCATAGTTGGTCTGTAATTTTCTGTAGTTATTTTCTGGTATGCATTATCACCGTTGGACTCCAATCAGACAAAATATTGGTTTACCCAATGGGGTTTTCCAATTCAATCCTGTTAAATCAAAAGTGTGTAATCTGCCAAGATTTACTGGAATAAAAGCCAGGAGACCACAGTTGGTGATTATCCTGTTAATGGTTTATGAGGAAGTGATCTGCAATTATCTCTAGTTATTAGCTAGATTTGTTATCAGTTTTGATACTTTTGAAAGTAAAGTCCATAAAGGGATTAGAATATATATTATAGGCTGAAATACTGAGGCATTTTAGGTCCTGGGCATACAGTTAGGAATAGTAGCACAATGATGTATAATAATAGCATGCAAGACAGAGGAATTAAAGTCATGTGCATTCAGAATATGTATGCATTGATGTAGAGAAATTGCTAGGATAGGTTGACATATATCTACATTTCTGTTTTTAACATTTAAATGAAAAAATTGTATGCAGTGTTCAAGTATTGAAGATAAAGACTGAATATCAAAGTTAATTGCTGATATACAATGTTATGATATTATATTTGTCATAAATAAAAGTATATTTGGTGACACTGTAAGATTTACAGCTTGTTCAGATATGAAATTATATACCACTACTTAAAAAAATAAAATATTGTGTAAATGAATATCAACTTCATGCAACAATGTTCCTGTGCATATTCACTTAGCTCTGTATTATAAGATACAGAAATACCTTGTAACAAATATAATATCACAACATGTGTATCATCAACAATTAACTCTAATATTCAGTCTTTGTCTTCAATAATTGAACACTGCATACATTTTGTTTTCACTTCAATCTTCAAAACAGAACTGAAGATATACATCTAGGCATATTACACTTACTTTGTTATACGAAAAATGTGCAGATGTTTACCTTGTATCTGAAGAAGAACTTGAAACACATCGCTATTTAAAAATGTGACCTCCTATCCATTGTTTTCTTTTGATTGTTTTTTTTTGTTTTAGATGGTTATGTGGATCATCAGTTCGTGAGACTAGAAGAATTTGATGCAGGGGAGGTGTATGATGATGTGATGGGTAAGAATCTTTGAACATTTACTTTTGGTAATCATAAACCATAGCTGCCAATCTGTCCTATTGGGGACGAATGATTCCTAGGTTTCGGGCCTTCAAGATATTGTTTTGACCCCTAGATCTCTCTCTTTGTCTGAAATATTCTGTGTGAAAGTAAACAAAATAGACTGTATTCCTAATTTTGCTTAGAGAGATTCCTAATTTTTGCTGTGAAAGGTCGACGGGTATGATAAAATTCTGTAAGGGATAACAATGGAAGGTGGGATTTCAAAAGGTTTTTGTGAGGTATTGCTCAATCACAATCCCACAGTAGTAGTAAGTTAATTTAAAAGCGAAACCTGAAAGCAGAGAATTGAGTGAAAGTATAAACAAGATTAGAAAAACATATAGTGATGAATTTTAAGATTTTTAGACCACTAAATGTAAGGAAGTCTCAAATTGGATTGGCAAATGTTTCATCCAGCTGTGATGTCATTGGGGACAAAGGTCACATTTGTTATTATGCGAAGAAGAAAACAAGTATCATCTTCTCTCACAGGTACCTTTCCCTTCACTACATGTATATCTATATAGAGTGGTAAAGTGTGAAGTTATCAAAAATCTATTTTTTAGAATTTCTCAATTTTTTCTTCATATTCCGAAAAAACACCAAAAATAATTTCCAAATGTCGAAAAACAATTGAATATGTTAAGTACTGGCTGAGTTATGACCATCTGAATGAATATATGTCCTATGGGAATTCAGTCAGTGTTATATGTTCTGGCTCCTAACCATTAGAAGCCAGAGCATATAACACTGAGTTCCTATGGGGAGTATATTAATTCAGATGGTCATATTTCAGCCAATATTTAACATATTCAATTGGTTTTTCGACATTTGGACATCATTTTTTATGTTCTTTCGGATTAAGAAAAAATTGAAAAATTCTAGAAAATAGATTTTTATGACGTCACAGCTTCGGTACTCTATTGTGGGTAGCATGTTGAAGGTTAAAGATCCTCCAATAATGAAAGGATCGTATTAATTCTCATTAGGTTCTCTGTTAATTTAAGGGGAAGAAATTATTTTATTATATCAATGTTGTTCAAACTTTAATATATGTGTTTCTCATATATTTCATTATGGAACTTGCTTTTAAGGTTTTTGAAAGAGCTTGTAAGTATACTGTCTGACACAAATGTAATATATTTGAAAACCTCTAAATATAATTTTTTACTTCTTTTTGTTGTTGACATGGGACAATTTATTTCTTCAATAATTTATTCATCTTCATCTTTAATAAACTCATTGGTTTTGTTAATCTTCCTTTATCACTAAATGTTTAATCACAAGAACTTTTCTGTATAATGTGAGATATCTCATTTTCCATAATCCAAGGTATTTTTTATTTTCTCTACGGTACTTTACTTTCCCAGTTTAAATTTTGAATGTCAAAAGAATTTTTTACTTTGATACAGAAAACCTAATTTGCCATCCTGGGAAGAGATTAATGTTTTACACGGATTGTGTTTGAGTGTAAGCTCATGTCCCAAATGACCCTGAATATGCACAGATCTTCAAAACATGAAGAGGCCCAACTTTGTACATTTTGAAATAATCACTCCTATAGCGATGGAGGTCTTACATAAATAGCCTATGTTTCCCCTTTTCAAAGAATACCTCCACCTGTGTATCGTGGAGTGCACTGCTTGTGCATAAATGAATAATGATAACATAACACTCATGAGCACGCATCCAGTATTTTGTCTCCGTGTATTTCACAATTTGGTCTGCAATCACATTTATCTCCTTATGCTCAGACTGCAACTATGAACTGGCTTATTAGAAATAGATTATTTGGTATTGATTGATTGCTTCAAAAGTTATAATATGTATTTTTTGGGAAAAAATAATATTTTCAATTTCTAGAAGAAGAAAAACAAACTGTCAAACCAATTGAACCAGTCAAAAGTGAGTATTTAAGTGTGGGGAAATATTCTTTGGTTTCCATGCTTTTCACTTCAATGCAGCATCTACATCATATTCAAATATCTTCTATTCGTCAGAGAATATATGGAAAACTGTCTGTCATTAACTAGAATGCTATTTGTTCTATATTATTGCTTGTCAGGCACTTGTCTTCTTGTATGTGGTTTACTATACCTTTTTTCTATCTGTTTTTGAGCAATTTGCCTTATATTTCAACTTTAAAATACAGACGCAATTCTCTTTCTGATCTGTTAAGTTGAAAAGTATGTATATCTCAGCTCCTGTTCTCTTTTGCGTGGTTTAATATCTTTTTTATCTGTTCTGTTGAATAAGTATGTATGTTCTCTTTTCATGGTTTACTTATCTTTTCTGTTAAGTCGAAAAGTTTGTATATACACAGCTCCTTTAATCCTTTCATGGTTTACTTATCTTTTCTATCTGTTCTGTTGAATCTTGGTATATGGCTCAGTTCTTAACAGACCTTTTTTCTGCAGTGTACTTTATTTATGTCCCTGTTAATAATTAAATCTTAACTCATAATGGGTTCTATTCTCTCTCTGTTCAATTGAATATGACTATTGTATCAATTCATAATGGATGCTATTCTCTGTCCAGTCAGTAACAGGCACTATTATCTTATACAAGCTTTTGAACAGGCTTCCTCTTTTTGTGGTTTACTAGGCTTTCTGTCATTGGAATTGCATCTGTCTTTATGCCCTAAATCATAACAAAATATATTCTCTTGCTGGTGATGTTTACTAGAGTAGTATGTCTGAATTGTATGTATGAACTCCTAACAGTATATAAGTTCTGTCATTTACTAGACTTTCTAGATCTGTTCATTAGCAACTAGCTGTATTTTTCAAGTCATGTTTCAAGAATCTCTCCAAGCTCTAGCCTTTGCCAATGCTGGTATAAATACTTTGAATCATTAAGTATACTAAGTGCTTGCTATTTTTCGAAATTTGTAACTATCGAGCAAGATTAAGAATTGCAGGTAATGGATTATTAGCCTATTGTAGTAAAGCACTGGAAAATAGTGCGTCTTTAAAAAAAGAATCTCTGAGGTATCAGAGGTGCAATGTATTATGGGAATGTATTTTGCTATGAGCGGTAACAAGAATTAAGCTTATGCCTTTCGCCTATCAGCAGATGATGTTTCCTTCCCTGTTTCTGATCTCTGCAGAATGTAAACATTGATTTTCTTCTTTCACTTTCCATTTAGGTTTCAAGTTAGATATTCGATAAGGCATTGGCGCTAAATTTTATGTATGTCTGACTTGATGTAATGATTTAACAATTGGCCTGTGCTCACTTTCTATAACTTTATTAGCAACCCCACATATACAAAATAAAAATATATTTCTTTATCTGTTTCTTGTTTCCCATTTAGAACAAAAATGGCCTCTGAATAATTTTTCTTTTTGTTGTTGCATCTATTAGCACTGAAAAAGTATAATGTTTATATCAATAGCTTTACAATTAAGCCCCCCCCCCCCCTCTTTTTACTACTTCTAGTACAGTATGGCTTTAAGTTCACAAAACCCTTGATCAGCCCTTGGAAGTATGTGACACTACGGGAAATCTCTTCCTCTTAATATTGATTTTTATAAAGGAGAATTCGCAGAAGACAAGATTTGAGTAATCTGGACTCCCAAGGATTTTAACAAGGATATCTCCTAGACGTCTGCTGTATAAAGCTCTTGCTAGAAATGTTATTCATGAAGGCTGTTTTTCTATGAAGAAAAAAAAGTTTTAGAGCCTTTAATTCTAGTTAATTATCTTTTGGAAGTCTACAAGGGGCATACCCTAGCTTTATCTAATCAAGTTCAAGTTCAAGTCTATGTAGTTCACATCTTAACATGACAAACCGTACACAAAGTTAAAGATGATACATAAATTAACATAACTAGTACTTTAATATACGATACATGTATTTTCATGACAATTTATTTTCATGATAATTGCATTTTCATGACAACAGCAACAAATGCAAGAGAAAAAAAGGAAAATATGTGGCTTATTTCTGAAGAATCTTTGTCTTTTATGGTAGAGGAGAGGAGAGGAGAGGAGAGGAGAGAGGGAAGGGAGATAGATAGATAGAGAAGAGAAGGGAGGGACAGAGAAGAGAAGGGATAAGAAGAGAAGAGAAGAGAAGAGAAGAAGGGAGAGAGGATAGGAGAGGAGAGGAGATAGATAGAGAAGAGAAGGGAGAGACAGAGAAGAGAAGGGATAGAGAGAGAGGTATATCTATATATTATAGATAATGGGGAGGGTAAGCAGTCAGGGGAAGAAAGTGGGAAACTTTTGAACTTTCGGTCGGCTATATAATTTAAATCATATGTGAACTGTCACTCCGGCGACAGGGAGTTCTGTTCCCACCGGGCTCTATATATGATTCATCTGTTTACAAGTATATGCCAGTCACCAGAGCATGTAATAACATTTGTGGGATTCTGTTACAGTTGGGTTATTTTTAGGACTTCCTCTTTCTAGATGCATAAAATATTGCTGTTCGGTGGACAAAAAATACTAGCCCCCCCCCCCCCCCCTCCTCCTTCTCCATTTTCCCCATATTCCTTTCGATATAAAACATTTAATACTACGAGGATGAATTATATACTTGCACTGACTTAACAATTACGGACTTGTGTTTTCCCCACCTGGTTCTATTCTCTATGATCTTCTCCAGGAGTTCTCCAGGAGTTCTCCAGCCTTGCTTGATAAGTATTTTTCATAATGCCTTTGATTCAACAAAATAAAAGATTCCCCACCCCCCCCCCCCCCCCTCTCTCTCTCTCTCTCTCTCTACTATCTTGTATTCCATTATCCCTTTGGATGGACAAAATTAATAGATAGTTCCCCAATTCTCTTCCATATTCCATTCAACACAAAAGTTCATGAAAATTATTGTCCCTACTCTCTCTCTCTCTCTCTTTCTCTCTCTCATTCTCTCTCTCTCTCTCTTTCTCTCTCTCTCTCTCTCTCTCTCTCTCTCTTTCCTATCTCTCTCTCTCTCTCTCTCTCTCTCTCTCTCTCTCCCTCCCTCTCTCTCCCTCCCTCTCTCTCCCCTCCCCCTCTCTCTCTCTCTCTTTCTTTCATATTTCAATCAACATGAAACTGTGATTATGTGTTTCAAAACAATTATCATTGTCAATGGTGTATCCAGGATTCTGTGACCTTGCAGTGAGGATCAAGGCACTCTTTCTAATTCTGACAAGATAATAATGAATTGACTAAAATTAATCACAGTTTCAGGGGTCATGCTAGGGGCATGCCCTTTTTTCTTCCTATTAAGCATGTACCATACCTGGGGGGTGGGGGGGGGGGGGGTGCTTCAAAAAGACTCAGATCAACTTTAAGTTGGGCTTAACTAAGGCAGGCCTTTCATGCCACTGTTTGGTCTCACTGTTTACTGGCATTTGTCTCTCAAGGGACGTACAAATTAATCATGGTCACAAATCTACAGAATTTACATTTTTTTGAGAATTCATTATTGAAGGAAAATACAATATCTAAAGATCATAATGGGGGAGCAAAAAGTGGTATGAATGGCCTGTCATATCGTTAAGTTCAACATCTTTGTGAAACACTCCCCTGTACCATGTACCAGATTAGGTTTGTATACGTGTGGAACGGGGGAGGGGGGGGGGGGGTTAGGGGGCGTACATGTTCCTCTGGATGCTGGATCTGCATAAGATTCTATTGCTTTCCCAAAGAAAAAGAGGGACATTGAAGAATAGGCACATGAACCATTTTATTGCTTTGAATAATGAGAATAGAGGAGGAAGTTTGTAACCAAAATTCTAGAGAGGTCATGGTAGAACCCAATCAACATTCAGTTCAATCTATAACATGATATTGCCAGTGATCAGCGGAGGTAATAGGCTGAATAATGAGTTTGTGATTTTTCAAAAGAATCTTGTTTTGATAAAGGAGGAAGTTTGTAACACAAGGATAGAATCGTGATACAGGTAAAGGGGAGTGGAATGTAACCAAATATGATTGAGTTGTATATCCATGAAGTATAGGAGTGTATAGAAGGTGCAGAACCAAACGCTATGTGTAGTAGTCTTGAGGTGTTAAAGCCCCACTGTACTACTTGTAGCTACTTGCTCCCTCTATATAGAAAACAATGCCTAATCGGTGACCATTGGTCCCCCATGATCCTCTTTTTCTTATGTTAATTGAGAGCTGTGTTGATGGGATAGCCACCTGTCATTGACCACCCTGAGTGGTCTAATCCCTCCTAGCCAAACTAGTACAGATGGGTTTAAAGAGAAGGTTGAGTTCTGGGAAGAGGTGAAAAATAATTTGTGAGCGTTATCATTCTTATTATGCAAGTGTGGAAGAACATCAGATAAGACATGTTCCCTGAAAAGCATGGCTCTTCAAATGCCTTTATATTCTAAATATGTCATGTAACTCGTAAAACTCGGGGGGGGGGGGGGGGGTAGGTTTTTACGCCACGTGTTCGTGTAGTCCCATATACATCTTTCTGTGTACAATATTTGTAACTTTACCAAGACTTGGCCAAATTTCTTATCATTTTTATGATTCCAGAACCTTGCATTACACACACTATTATGCTAGATGATCAACCTTTGCTGGTCGATTTCACACCGTTTCTTTCACAATGCAATTGCATGACCAGAACTCAACTTCATCTTTAAGATCATGTAAAGTGAGAAGATGAAGTTATTTATCATCTGGTGTGAGCTAGGAGGGTGTATGTATGCATAGTTAGCATCCTTCTGGATCTCAGCTGAAAACATACCCTATATCATCAGAAGAAAGGCTGTAAAATCATATTATTATGTTTTATAATGTGAGTTACCCACCTTCTGGCTCTTTGCAGCTAGATAGTATTAATTATAAAGGTTTTTTCCTCTTGACAAGTTTTTACAAAGGTCATTAGAATTCTCCATTTTTATTTATCACAATAATGTTATTCACAAATCATTGCCCCTCTTTTTCATTTAATATTTCATTCATTTTTGTATTCATTATTTTCAATTCCAATAGAAAATCAAAAGCTTACAGAGACAAATCACAGTTTAATATTACCCTCCAGGGGTATGAATAATGTAGTTCAGTGTTAACTGTAACTGCATATTCTGTCTTCCTCCTAAATTGAATTTAAAGAGAAGGTTGAGTTCTGGGAAGAGGTGAAAAATAATTTGTGAGCATTACTCATTCTTATTATGCAAGTGTGGAAGAACATCAGTTAAGACATGTTCCCTGAAAAGCATGGCTCTTCAAATGCCTTCATATTCTAAATATGCATGTAACATTGTAAAAATCGGGGGGGGGGGGGGCGGCTTTTTACGCCACGTGTTCGTGTAGTTCCATATACATCTTTCTGTGCAAGTGTTTGTAACTTTACCAAGACTTGGCCAAATTTCTTATCATTTTGATGATTCCAGAACCTTGCAATACACACAAATTGTTATATGCTAGATGATCAATCTTTTCTGGTCAGTTCCACACCATTTCTTTCACAATGCAATCGCATGACCAGAACTCAACTTCATCTTTAAGTGTGAAACGAGCTATAAGTTTTTTTATTTGTGATCATATACTAGTGTCTCACATTAAAGTAGGTAGTGTTGCCATAATATGCTCTGAGACAATTGAAATATAATCATGTATGGAGTGAGTAATAGTGTGAAGCCATCAATAACGTATATTGCAGCCTGAGTCCTCATTCTGTAGAAACAATGGGGTTTGTAAGTATAATGACCCTAGCTGCTATACTCCTTTTGTGAGTCATTAGTCAATTAAGAAAACCCTCATCACCCGTCAAAGCAAACCGGTCATCTATTTTTAATCTGAGGATTAATTAATCCCTTCCTCTTACTAATGAAGAAGGCAGGCAGGCAGGCATGGAGGAGGGGGGGGGGGGTATCCCTAGTTTTGACAAGTGGATTAGGGAAGCATTTGCCCCCTCTTGTACATGTCAATATAATGCTCAATGTTGGTTTGGACAGCTTAAAGGGAAGTATACCAGATGTGAAAGAAGATTTGAATAGAAGCTGAAAATGAGAGAAATATATAGGCACAGTGTGCAAAATTGGGGTCAGGGGAGGTGTGGGGTGGGGGGGGGGAGCAGGAGAGGGAGGCATGTGTTGCCCCCCCCCTTCCCTCAAAATCCAATGTACCATTATAACATACACATCATAAGAAATGCACAAAATTATATAATGTGTTCCCCCACCCAAAATGTAATAAATTTTCTCCCCTTTTGTGTGCTTGTCAGAATATTTGTGGACTTGTACCTTCTGGTGAAAATGTGAAAATCTTTTCAGTCTGAACTCTTTACATGAATAGAAGGTTTATCAAAATAGATAGATGCCATACTGTGATCAGTAATATTATTATTGGCTTGAGGATAATATTATACAATATGATGATTATAGTAAATTACATTAAATTTTCTGCACAAAAGATCATCATTTGCAATTCAGAAATCAAATGTGTTAGTCGGGTTCGTAATCTCAGACTTTTGTTCAAAGTCTCAGATTTCAAATTTTGTAGTTCAGCATCAGTCCATAATCACAATATCTGGAGGATCAGAAAAATATCTGAATCAGTTCTTTCTGTTCATTCTTTTATTGTACATGTCGTTTGGATATGTGTAATTTGTTTTATATCGGCCTTCCTCAAAATCCAATACCGGTAGCCTGTCTGCAACGAGTTCAGAATACGGCAACTCGGCTCGTCGCTCTTCGTAGTAGATCAAACAGTATTTCAGTTATTTAAATCTCTTCATTGGTTATCAGTCACAAAAAGAATCATGTATAAGCTGTAACTCATTACTTACAAAACACTTCTTCATTCTTCACCCCATTACTTGTATCCGATTTGAAACCGTACACCCCACAACAGAATTTACGTTCAGGTTCACAGCTCATGTCATGTACACCCAAAACCAATAACAAATGGGGGACAGGGCTTTTGCTGACATATTGCACCCAAATTATGGAACACTAATTATTTTGATATTGTACAGAAGTGCCTTGAGCAGTCTTTTAGAATGGATATATGTGCGCTTTATAAGATTACATCATTATATATGCAAAATGTGTATTATAAAAACATAACTGGGAAATGCTTTCTATGTGAATCTGGATTCAAAACTACATGGACTATTGTATGTATTATATAACAGCTTAAAAACAATGATTTCAATACGTAAGCAAAAGAATCAATCAGTGTTGCAACCTTTAGCGCTTGCTAATCTGATGAACAGGATATTGCATAGGTATCATTATTTCCGTTCATTTGTTGTTCGTACTGTAGAATGGCATTCTTGTGGCTTGTGAGGGCAGCATTCAACTTCAAAACTTCCTACCTTCAGAGTTTTCACATTTGCTATATTGCTTTGGAAGAAAAAAAACGTATTGATTTGATATTTGATTTAGAGAACATCGTATGAAGAGTCTATTAACAAACAAAGCTGTTGCGTCTGAGCCCTCAAAAGGTGGTGGTAAAATCAGAGGTAAAGAGGGAGATAGTAAGAAACAGACAGAGATACAGACAGCAATTAAGAGACAGCAATTAAGAGACAGAGGCAGACGGACAGCTAGGAACTGAGAGAGGGAAATATAGACCAGTAGTAAGAGAGAAATTCTACAGACAGAAAGAGAATGAAAGTGATCATGTGTATTGTGTAGATTAGAAGATAGGCAGGGACATAATGATTGTAAGATTAAAGGAGAGAAGGAGAGGAGTGGGAACCATTGAATTCAGTTAGGATGGGGGCCAGGTAATGTATGTAAACTGCATTCTGATGTTTGAACTACACTTACTTGTACCATGAAGTTGTATTTCTCACTTGGTTATTTTAAAGGCATCTCAATAGAAGCGAACCAATTTGATTGGCTTTTTTGGCAACCTCCTTCAGGGACTGCTGGCAGGGGCTGATCTAACTTTTTTCTAATGGGGGGAGGGGTTGACCAAAAAAAAAATCCCCAAATCGCGCTGTTTACCGTTTTACTTTTTTCTTCTTTTTCACTTGGCCGCCCAAGAGGGGGGGGGGGGGTGGGGGTTAAACCGCTGAAACACCCCCCTTAGATCCGCCCCTTTCCGGGGTGTTTCACAAAGACTAAGATAAACTTTAAGTTGGACTTAACTATGGCAGGCCATTCATGCCACTGGTTACTCTCATCATTATGATCTTTTAGATTATATTTTTCCTTCAATAATGAATTTTCAAAAAATTTCAATTCTGTAGATTGGTGACCATGATTTGTACGTCCCTTGAGAGACCGATGCCAGTAAATGATGAGAGCAAACAGTGGCATGAATGGCCTGCCATAGTTAAATACATCTTAAAGTCGGTCTTAGTCTTTGTGAAACACTCCCCTGGTATGACTAGCTGGTCCACAACCATTTGATAACTGCTGAAGTGGCTATCATTGGCAATTGCACAAGATATGAAGGAAAAAATGGAGTGTAAATGTTAACAATTCTATTGCAAAATGAAGATTACCTTTACTTTTTAACTTTCTTTTGTTTTTTAAATTTCTTTTGTTTTTTAAATTTCAATTAGGTGATGAAGAGGGAGAGGAAGAGAACATCTACGATGCTGTCAATTGATGAAAGCCAACTCCGTTGGGTTAGTGGTTCCAGGAAAGAACTCTACTTAATCCGTACTTGAAGTGGAATAGCGCCCTCGGGATGTACTTCTAATTTAGTGGTTAAATAATAACACTTATCAGGATTGTGAATGAAGATCATCGAGTATGAATGAAAAGTGAATCTATGAAGTAAACCTTTGGTGAGAAAGAACTCTACTTACTCCTTACTCCAAGCTGAGGTGCCCTTCAAACGTGATTTTTAATTTTCTCATGGTCATAATATAAATTAGACTCGTGAATTATGATCATCAATGGAATGATCAATATAGATCTATGAAGGAAAGTTCTACTTAATCTGAATTTCAAGTTCAGTTGACTTCAAAGTGTACTTTAAATTTTCACTTTGTAATAACACTAATCAGACGTAAGAAGTAAGATGATGAAGAATGAATGGTTAGAGTTTGTTTGGTTGGCTGAGGATTATTGAAGAAATCTTTCTATGAGACTTAACTCTTAACTTAATCTGCTACAAGCAAAAGTGCCCCATGTACTTTCTGATTCTAGCAATTTGCATCCATACAAACCAATCTGGAAATTTGTAGAGCGCCTGTATCTAATTGCCTAATCTAAGGCGCCCGACGAGACTGAAAAACTACTGAATATGCCATTCGTAATTTTAACCTGAGAGAGACTAGAGTAGTGGCTAGTTGTAAGCAATGTGGAATAGATATATCTTTAGTTGGGTTTTAAAAGTGGATAGCAGGTCAGAAGAGCAAAGATACTAAGGAAAGTTAGCTGGTCCATAACCTAGGTGCAGAAGCAGGGAATGTCCTATCGCCAAGCAGAGAATGGGCTCCAGAACTCAGCACAATTGCTTTAAATCAAGTTTCGGAATTGGCAAGTTGCTAGTAACTCTTTATCCGTGTCTGTCAAATAATGAAACAAACAGTGAACCGCTAGTGTCAACTTTTGGCACACCTCAAATGTACCGTATATGGAACATTTCATCTACTTGTAGCACAAAGGGCATAAAGTTTGTTTTAAAGTATGAGTAAAGCTCACGTAAATGTATGGATTAATGCCCTTCTGGCTCTAAACTAACGACATGCTCCAAATAATTTAGCGTTCTATTGTTTCAATCTGTAACAAATATTTATGTCCTATCTGTGAAATTTAAACGTTAGCAGTGTCCTGAATATTCAAATTATGCAAGGAAACCCGTTTACTTGCTAGACTGTAACGAATAAGGAGTGAATATTGCGTCCATTAACCTGTACTTGAATTTGATATCAATATTAGGCAATAAAATAAATGAATGACATCGCTGAGTTAATCATGATTGAAAGGATGATTGCCATGCCATGGTATTGTTCTATGAAGTATTTAAAGGTAAAGACCAGTTATGGTCATGCGATTGCATTGTGAAAGAAACATTGTGGAATCGATCATAAAAGGTTGATCATCTAGCATCTAGCATCTGCAAGGTTCTGGAATCATCAAAATGATAAGAAATTTGGCCCATTCTTCGTAAAGTTACAAGCACTATACACAGAAAGATGTATATGGGACTACCCTATATCTCTCACAGACCATGAGAGAAACAAATTTACCAAATATATGAATAAGCAGGCGGTTTCCCAGCAAATTTTGTATCATCATGTATTAGTCAAAACATATTCTTTCACATGATTGGTAATGAGAGCTTCCATTTCATTTTTTGAAATTGGGGCGTTTCCAATACTGGTCTTTACCTTTAATCTTTTGTTAAATTTTATTGAGAAATAGCCTGTTTACACACAAATTTAATGATGTGATAGCTTGATTTATGTAAAATACCCAGAATGAAATATCTGTCCCAAATTGTAGATGATGCTGCAGGAATTTATGCAGCTTTTAAAAATTAAAATGCGGTCTCTGTGTGCTATTGATTATTAATATGACTTCTTTAATGACAGAAAAAAAATTGTCACAAATATTCTCTGAACATGTGGTACTTTCAGAAATTATATTTTCTGGTCAGTTATCAGCTTATCTACGAAGCCTTTCAGTGGTGGATTAAGGATTCAGGAACTGCAAATTCATCAAGCTGCTTTTACATGCAATATCTGGGTTGACTTTAGAATGTAGTAGGTGTACTAAAAACTGTTTATCCTCTGTGGGAACCAGAAAGACATTACCTTTGTGTTAGATGGTATGAGTTAATGACCTTGTGGCTCTCAGCTGACGTTATTGACCTTTGACCTCTTAGAGATGGGATACTGGGGCCCTGTGTCATTAAACCTCATCAAAGAACAAGATACAGTAACTGTTATAAGCTACTGAAATCATGGCTTTTGATTGGCTGTGAGACAATTGACATACCGGTAGAAATTTAGCATTTGTTTTTGATAAAAAGTTTGTATGAAACAGGGCCCATGACCTGGCACACCAAACTGTGTGGGAGTTGGTAAAGATAAGGCGGCTCTCACAAACCTTTTACTGGTACTTGAATTTTATGGGCATTTCCCCCCTCCCCCAGAAAAAAATATATAAATGAGGGGCAATTGTTTCCTGCTTTCTGGCAATGCCTTTCTAGCACAAAACAGCCCTTGCATTGATCCCGTGGTTGAAAAGTAGACAAATTATGTCATATGAAATACTTTTAAGTATATTTGCTTAATGGGAGAATTTTAATGTATTTATTTAAACGCAACTTCCATAAAAATAGAAGGTATATTTTTGTAGCCAAGCTCAGTTAAATAGTTTTATGCATAGACTGTAGGTTTTTTACATCTCTTTTTATATACAAAACTACAGTAATATAGCATTGTAAGTCATGTATTAATAATATTGGACTCTCAAGGTATAAGCAAAAGTTCCTTAGCATTCTTTTCAGACTATTATGTACTCAGTATTTAGATATATTAGACTTGAAAATTATATTGAAGAAATGATGTGTTTTCTTTAATTGTAGGATACTATACAGAGACGAGAATACATAAATGTTATGAACAGTACAAAACTTGTAATTATATCTTGTACAGCTTACCTTGGATTATATATATTTTAAAGCATCAGTTTTATGTGTCATTATATTATATGATCATGATGTAGAGTAAGAAATATGTTTTATGTTAAATAATTTTTAAAGGATCTTTTTCAAAATATGATCATGTCTAATTTCATGCTGGTTTGATACATGTATTACATAATAATATGGCAAGTTTAGACAGCTGCAATTCTATGATTTGTCTCTGAAAGATTTTTTTTGTGTGTGTGCAAAATCTTAAGGTCTTTTAATGTTATACAGTTCTTCTTATTGTTTCATTCTTAATACAATACTATATCATGTAAAATCCATCAAGCAAATTTTTATGAATACTGTTATTTGTATGATGAATTGTTAATTTTACGTATGTTCTTGATCAGAAAGGAAACTAGAATTTACTGAGAGCTGTAATTGTGTTACATTCATACTTCATATATATTATGGTGAAGCCCTTTTGGCATTAAAGAGATGATATCACCACTTTTTGCCAAGTCCAAATTGAAATTGAACCTAGCAATTATCTCATATTTTTTGTTGTAAAGTTGCAGGCTATCATGTGGATCACAGGGTTCGAGTCCCACTGTGGAATTAATGTCCTTTGGCAAGACATTAATCTACATTTGCCACTCTCCACCCAGGTGAAGTAAAAGGGTACCCGGTAGGACGAAATTCCTTGAATGCTTTAGTGCCTTACTATGGCAGCTCAGCTACAGCCGGGGTAATAATGTGATACTTTGTATTACGAGCAGTAGTGGCTGCACTATATAAATGGACCTATTTTTATCATTACCAATATGCTATTACATCATACCTATATTTTAATTTGATCTGTATTCTGAGGAAATAAATGCCACCCCGCCTATGAATGAGAGGATGCTGTTATTTTCTTAACTTATTTTGCAAATATTGAGTCACAACCCAACTTTCTTAGCTAAGAAAGATAACCAACAGTCCTTTTCAGGACTACAAACCCTCAAGAAAGATTACAGAGAGTCCTTTTCAGGACTCCTCAATCCTCCCTCTCTCTCACATGGTGCACCCGCAAGCCTACTGTAAACCCAACTTTTGTTAGTGAGAACTGACTCGTAGTTACGCTTTCCTCTTTGTTTTTGTGGGAACAAGCCACATCACTTTTGTTCTGCCAATAGCTACTGTTTGGGGTTTGGGGTTTGGGGTATGTGATACTTATATCATGTAAAGGGTTTCATACTTTTTAATTCAGGTTGAATATTCTTATTAAAGGTTAATGCCAATTTCCCCGTAAATATCAAGAGATTACTCCTTATAACTTGATGGGAGGATTAAAGACAATTTGCTTTCAATCATTGGGAAATTGAGACCCCCCCCCCCCCAAAAAAAAAATCATCAAAAAACCCAAACAAACAAACAAAATGATTTTTCTTAAATAGGTAATAAATGCGAGTGTTGAAATTGAACTAAGAAAATGCTTGGCTCAACAAATTTCTATGTTCCTTAAAGTTTTTTTTAACGAAAAGAACCCCAGTATATTGTAGAAATTATTTTCTTTCCATTATTTAGTAGTATTGGAGATGGTTGATATGCAATATTACTGAATAGAATTGTTAACTCCAAGTTTTAGTTGTATACGTTAATGATTATCTAAGGACATGCTTGCAATGCAGTAACTCCCAAACAATATGATGTATACTGAATGTGAATAACGATCTCAGAAATATAGTCTAACCACTATATTAACTAATTTTTGTTTGTTTAAATTATTACACCCATGAAATCTTGTGTTTTGTAGATCTAGATTTATTTCATATTTTGCCTTATAAGTTCATAATATTAAGTGCTGTAGAGTGTAGTTCAGGCAAAACATTGACCTTTTTCTTAAATGTTTTTATATATTTGTCCTTGTTTTCACGAAGTGACGGTAGTGAGGAAAATCGTAACGCAAAGTGAATGCAATTTTTTTTCACTACCGTCACTTCGTGAAAACAGCGACGTATTGTCTTCACTCTTGCTCAGACACAATAAACAACTTGTTATTTTTTCACAAGGTAAATACTGTATTTTACAGATAATAAATCTTATCTTTTATTTTGTATGTATTTTGCAAGTAAATGCATTATTATGAACCATGAAGGTTTGGGGCAAACTTTACAATTTTTTGTAATATTATAAAATTTAAATTTGTGACAATGAGTTGAGTGATATATTTTTGTACTGCTAATATACTTTCTAACAATTTGTGTAGAATAATTGTCAAACTAGATAATGTGAATGTATATTTCAAAATAATTATTTTGTATACAATTAAATGATGTCATTTATGCAATGCTAAGCACGATTGTGATATTGTTGTTTATTCTGTTCATGTCCCCCCCCCCTCTCTCTCTCTCTCTCTCTCTCTCTCTCTCTCTCTCTCTCTCTCTCTCTCTCTCTCTCTCTCTCTCTCTCTCTCTCTCTCTCTCTCTATCCCTCTCTGTATCTACTTATTCTCCCCTCCCTTTCTCCCTCCTATTGGCTTCCTCTATATCCCTCTCTAACACCACTCTCATATAGTCTCCTCATCTCTATATCAAACTCTCTCTCCCATCTTTGTCTCTATCCTCTCTTTATCTCTCTCTCTCTCTCTCTCTCTCTCTTCCTCTTCCTCCCTTTCTTTTTCTCTTTCCTTTTTCTCTTTCATTTCTTTTTCTCTTTCCTCTCTTTTTCTCTTTCCTTTTCTCTCTCATTTATACTTCCCACCCTTCTCTCTCTCTCTTTCTCTCTCGCTCTCTTTCTCTCTCTTTCTTTCTCATTTTCTCTCTCTCTATATATATTCATATTTCTCTCTCACTCCTGTTTGAATATCTTTCCAACTTTCCTTTATTTATAGTAACCACTGAGTTCATTCTCCCACCCATAGGTTAATAAAATCTTACACAAAGTTATAGCAACTTCTTAATGATACTTTATTCAAAGAAACCTCTGAATAAAGACAGCAAACACACATGAACTGCATTACATGTCTTTTTATTACATACCTAGCCAAACTTTCTTTAGAACAATAAATTATAAAATAAATTTTTGTTTCAGATAAGAAAATATATTTTCTATATTCCTTTTCATAGAATCTTGCTGGCCCGGATTAGCTCTTCTCTCATCATATGATTTTTAACATTAAACAAAAAAATTAACTACATAATG